TGTAGTATATATATATATATATATATGTTATAATGTAATTATTATAATAATATTGATACATAAAATATGTAATGAAAATAACATTACATATTATTATTTTAGGAGAAATCTGCTGAATTAAATTTTAATGATCTGTATATATAATAAAATATAATATATATATAATAATAAATGATAAAATTTTAGATTTTCAGAAACATGTTGTTGCAGCTTTGACACATATTAAGTTTGATGTTAATTTATTGACTTCTACCCAACAAATTATTAGTGCTAATATTGAAGCTATTATGGCACATACAAATTATAGTAGAAATGATCTTCCAATCAACCTAAATTATAATGATGTTGATGTCAATGACATATTTCCAATCAATACTCAGGAAGATCTTGAAACATTTGAATTTAAGCTAAAGATAAATGAAAATTACTTCAAAAGCATGCTTGGAGTAAAATAACTTATTTTGCTTAACGTATTATGGATACATAAATTAATGCCTTTAAAATGACAAGATTTTATAACAAAACTAGTAGTTCCATTTTATATTAATTGATGTATAATAGTTAATATTATTATTACACAACGAAATTAACAAACTGTTATTTATAATAGTGTTAAAAAAAATTTTCATGAATTTACTAAAGCAATATTTAGTTATTGTAAAATACAGGACAATTCTGATATTTAATGAACCAAAAAGCAGATTTATTCCATATTATGATATTTATTGGTTTCTTTTATTTATCAATTATTATTAATTAAATATTTATTAATTTATAATTCATCAAGCATCTTATAATGTATAGCTTTTTTTAAAAAATCCTATCATTAATCAAAGTTTTGAGAGGGTACAAAATTACCATAACAAATGTTATCTTTTCAGTGTTTGATAATTTTCCAAAAAACCAGACTTTTATAAACCTACTTCTTTAAATAAAATTATAGCTAATACAATGTACTTTTAGATGAAAAAAAACTACAAAATCTTGATTTCTAGGTGCTGCTGTCCTATTGAGCATTAAAACAAAAAATGGTTTCATGAAAGTTAGTTTAATCACTGTTAGATATCAATCAATATATTTTATTTATAAAATGAGAGATTATTATAAAAATCTAAAAATGCCTCAACTCAATTTTGCAAAATCCCAATTATGCCTTTTTTTTTTTTTTAATTAAATATATCATATATTAACAAAAATAAAATTTTTGTTTTTCTAGATAAAAAAATTATTGTTGCTCACAACTGCCAAAATCTTGGAAAATCAGTGAGCCGTATTATGACAAAAATGTTTCATGATTCAGTATTAGTTCATTTCTCAACTTATAATTATAGCGTATAGATGCTGATATTTTGAAATGGTAAATTCGTTTGACATTGATATAACAATACATTATATTTGACTACTTATGCTAGTGGACGTATATTCGGTATTCACCCTATGTCTGGCAATTAGACAAATAATTGGAACCAGGCTTAACATATAATTTTTTAAAATAAAATATGTATTTTGGTAAACAAATAAAATGAAGTCTAAAAAGGCATTTAAAAGCGCGCGTACTCATTTTTTAAAAATACGGTCATTAATCGCTCTATATAAAACACCCCCATATTTAAATTGAACCATGTTTACCACGACTAAAAATATTTGAAGAAGAACAAAAGAAAATTGATGTCCTAGTATTAACTCTAAAGTAATTTCAGAGATAAGATGGGCAAGTCAGAAACGTGCAGTGGACTTGGTGTACATAAACTTGCCAGAAATTGTTAACTCATTACAGCGAATTGCTGATAGAGAACTTCTCAATACAAAATTAAATATTATTTCAGAATAACAAGAATTGCTTTTTCAAATGGTGAATTTTAAATTTAGTTTTATGGAAAAATATACTTGGAAAATCAAATATTTTATCAAATTAGTTACAAAATTCTAAAATTGATATAATAACTGCACATGATATGGTTTCAACATGTTTTTTTAGATATTTCATCTTTCAGAAATGAGGAACATATTTTAAAAATAAAATGTAGTGCAAATGAATCGTGTGAACAGTTTGGAGACAAAAATGACTTTGAGCAAGAACGTATCAAATTTGGATATATTGAGTATTGAGATCATTATAGAACAAAAAATTAACTTTAATAATGTAATAAATACATTTACTTTACTACTGGAAAAGCGCAGAAAAATTATGTAGAGTTCTATGCTTTTACAATATTTATTTTCTTTTTCTTTTATTTTTGTATATTATGATAAAAATAAAACTTAATTCAGGTGTAAATTATTTTTGTATTGGATTAGAATTTAAAATAATATCCTATTGCGGAAATGAAAGCAGTCATTGAAAACTAAAATTAAATGAATTTACTGTAACTATAAATTTTAAAACTAAAATGTTTGAAAATCTACTTAAAATTAATTAAATATTTCTAGTAATTTTTTTAATTGAATATCAATTTGAATGTAACAAATAAAAGTAACATTGCTATTTTATACCTAACCTAAAGTTAATTTTAAATTTGATTTAATAATTATTAGTTATAACTAATGTCATTTAGTTATATTGGGTGTTAGTATAAAAGTGTGATATAAATGAGGTAATTTACGAGCGCAGTGAACAACTAAGTAATACATAGTTAGTTAAAGCTTCTACACAGTGGCAGGGGCGTTTCTAGCCTTCCCAATATAGTTAGGTGTTAGTTTGAAAAACTACCGACTATAAGATAGTTTACCAGTGTTCACTAACATTTTTTGCAAAAAATAAAAAGGTCATTTGGGATAGAAAATTTGCCGACTGACTAATATGTTCTCGTCAAAATATTTTCTTAAATTTATCAATAACTTAAAATTTAGAATTAAGTGATTTTGTGTACAAAATTTTGATATTGAATCAAATTTTGTAAGGATTTTAGTGATACATAAGGAGCTGAACATAAAGTTATGGAATTTGTATCAATTTTTGATAATCTGATAAATTTAGAATAGAAATATGATAATGATATGATTAAAAGTATTTCTTTGCCTATACATAGAATATATGCAAGTTTTTTTTTAATTTAATTGCAACCTCAAATATTGAAACATTTGTTAATAGCCTAAATTATTCAAGTTTTAAAATCTAATATAAATCAACTCATTTAAATTCACAAAATATTTTAGTTTAGCGATTTTTGAACTTATCACAAAAGATATAAAATTAAAAATTGGGTATTAAAAAAATGACCGAACAACTTTTATTAATTAGATGACTCCTATTTAAATTTTCTTCAAAATTAACCTATGAAATTAAATATGAGAATTATAGAAATATGATCTACCAATAAATGAAATAAAATCTTATATATAAATGTGTAAGTAATATTTTTATTATTGATTTCATCAAAGAGTTGAGTTGGGTTACCTATAAAGTTTTTTTGTGAATAATGTTAATAATAAACTACTAAATATAATAATAAGATATTAGTTTTGTTTATCTTGAATAAATAAACAAAACTGAAATATTATATTGAATATAATATATTAGTTGAATTTCATCATCAGTCTCATCATAATTACTGTCGTTATCACCATTTACACGTTATGAATCTGTGATTGGGTCTCATCCCAATCACAGATCCTAAAGCTGTAATCATGAGTATTATTATGTTTATAAGTTTAAGTATGCATTTAATCAGATTATAATTACAATATTTTAAAGAAATTATATAAGTTAAAAACAAACAAAATATAAAAATCATCTAAATTTTTACGATTACTTCAAAAATGGTAATTGTAAATAAAAAACTTATAAAACTCTGAATTTATTTAAAGATTTATATCAATACTATTTGAAAGTATGTAACTTAAAATGTTTGTAAATAAATTGTTTAATACCCATTGTTAATTTTCGTGATATGAAACGGCGTGTCAGCTATGCAATTTAGCTACATGAATGTATTAATTTCGATAATTTGTCAATTATTTCTTATAAACTGTAAAAATTTTTTAGACTCGATGCCTAAATACTAGAAGACTTTTAAAGAAAACTGGCACAATGATATTTTACATACACTAGATCATAATTAATACTAAACCATTTTAGTCAGAATTAATGGATTTTGTAATCCTAAAATAACTATCAAATCTTGACATTTTTCTTTCTTTGAGCAAGGAAGACTATGAACTTATTATTAACATTTCTACAAATTCAGTTCAATACAAGATGTTAATGAAAAGTACAATTTGTCTGTCACAGTAGGACAACAAAAACTATTGTTCTTTTTTAACTTTGATCCAAACTTGTAAATAATTTCAATATAGTTAAAACTTTAGTATAGTATAAAAAATTGATTTTTTTTATAATGGTAAAATCAAATGTAATAATTTTTCTTAATATACAATAAAATTTATCAGTTCTAATATGACAAAATTTCATACTTAAGTAGCAAAGTTAAAAAGTCAAAATGCAGCTAATGATGGAAATAATTAAATTTTAATAAAATTCAAAACTAAAACCCAACCAGAGTATTAAAAAATAAATGTTTTTAATAATTTGTATAATAACTACTATACTATTTAATTGTTTACTATTCCTACATTTATTATGAGTTAATTAAAAAATTAATAGTTTTAACTTCGATATTTACTATAATGTGTATAATTTATTTTTTTTGTCTGTTACCATTCAATCTCAGCTCTCGCTGGACTGATTTTGATTAATAATATATCATATAACTAACAATTATTTTCAATTTTCAAATATTAAGTGGCTTATAATAAAAGAATTCAACGAATTAACTCGCTATGACAATCATGACTTTATCATATATAAACGTTGTCTATGTTGATATTGGGATCACTTTGTGTTTGCTCGTCAAATAAGCTATCATTTCGTGTAAGTATTCAGAGTTATTTAACTAATTACTAATATGGCAAGCGAAAATAATACGGATAGTCATATTTATGAAACAAATATGAATGTTGTGAAACGCAGAGTTGAAGAATTCTGGAATCGTCGTTTCTTGAGTTCCAATTTAGTCGTTGATAGTCCAGAAGAACCCCAAACATCAAGACAGTCTACAGGTGAAATTAATAACTGTAGACACTATTAAGATTAATTAAACTAATTATCAAGTAACGAGAAAAAGATTAGATATAAAATATAACAAGAAATTAAAAAAGATTATTCTCTTTTTGATAAATAATTATTATTTTTTTATTGTAGTTAAAAAAATTTTAATATTATTCACTATTTCAGTAAATTATAAACATTAGAGTAGATGTAATATCAACGTCAATGCATTTTTTCACCGTAAACATTTTCAAAATTAACTATTTAATTAATAACTTTTAAAATAATATTCTCTTAACAGCAAATTCTAGTGGAAATATAAACACTGAAACAAATTCGGTTAAACCAAAAAAACGTACATATCGAAAACAAATTGAAAGTGATGAAATTATTGCAGAAAAAGTGGTAATTAAAATTGTAAAGATATATCAACCCTCACAATATAACAGCAATAGTTTAATATTTGATATTATTTAGAACGACTGTATAAATGTATTATTTTGTCGAGATATTAGTAAAAAATATTAACTAATTTCAATTTTAATATCTTAATCTTGTTGATTTCCAATAAGATTTTTAAAGAAAAGAGACATATTATGGAAGATAATAATAAAATATTAATTATATTTCATTTATTCATTTTAATTTGCCATTGGTTACGCCTAGAAATTGATACAGCGAGGAGATATTGCAACACTTATTAAGAATGAAAAAACTGGAAAATATAAAGAGAAACTATCAGTTTCAGCAAAAAATAGTTATATACCAATTCCAAAAGGCAATGCGCCATCAATACCAGCATATTTATTAGGAAAAGTAAATTTTATTCTGTATTTGTTTATATTTAATAGAATATATATATGTAGCCTAAACATTTCTTTTGACTTAACGTAGATTTTTTATATAAATTAACTAAAATTTATCCTATAATTTAATATGTTATTATGTTGTGTTAAGAGTTTTCATAAGAATCACTTGCATCGCAATAAATGCGAAGAAAAAAAGCAACCCATTGAAGTATCATCGAATGATACTAATCGCCCTAACATAGAAAGTAACTCATCTGAAAAACATGAAGAAGTCACTAAAAGTACATAAAAAAATTTAATCTACATTTTGATTATTGACTCAATTATCTTATACTTTTAAACTTAAATCATTTTAGAGTTGGAAGTTAATATTGAACATTTGGCTTCAAGAACATCGAATGACGTTACTTCACCAGCTATGTCCATCGTTGACACAAATAATAAGCTGGAAGAAAAAAAGCAACCCATTGAATTATACTCAAATGATTCTGATCGCCCTAACATAGAAAGTAACTCATCTATGAATGATAAAGAAGTCATTAAAAGTACATAACAAAATTTAACCTATATTTCTATTATTGAAAAAATTATCTTACACTTTAAAACTTAAATAATTTTAGAGTTGGAAGTTAATATTGAAACATCGAATGACGTTACTTTACCAGGCGTGTCAACTGCTGAAATAAAAGAAACTTTAGAAGGAAAAATAATTAATTTACAATACACAAAATGTGGAGTAAAAGAGCAACTGTTGGAGTTATCTTCTAGCACTTCTGAAAACCTAAATTTAAAAAGAAATTCGTCCGAGAAAGATGAGAGAGTCATTAAAAGTATTTAATAATTTTTTATAAATTTTATTCTGCATATTAAGTATATTGAAATTATTTTTTATATTTTAAAATATAAATACTTTTAGAAGCAAAAGTTAGTTCTGACATTTTACATACAACGTCTAATGGCGTTACTTTATCAGGCATATCCATTGATAATACAAAAGAAAGTCCGGAAGAAAATATATGTAAATTACAGGGTAATAAATGCGTATTAAAAAAGCAACTGCTGGAGTTATCTTCTAACACTGCTGTACAACCAAATTTAAAAAGAAATTCATCCGAGAAAGATGAAAAAGTCATAAAAAGTATTCAATAATTTTATTTTAATAATTTGACCTTTCATTAGTTTATTGTAACAATTATGTACTATTTTAAAACATTAATTTTTTAGAGCCAAAAGTTAGTTCTGAAGTTTCGGTTTCAAATACGAATGACGTTGACTTGCCTGTCGTGACCGTTAAAGAAATTAATGATATACCGGAGATAGAAATAGGTAAATTAATATTATTTTTCTATTGATTTCTTTAATATTTATTTCACATAGAAACATCCATAACACATATTTTGTTTAACTATGTTTAATCTTATATTTCAAAACCTAGGAATATTTTTACTCATATTAAACCATTTAGCTAGCTTAAGTAATTTATGAGAAGTTTTTAACTCTTGTAGAAGTGACGCATGATCCGAACACAAATGAACTAGATCAGTATAACGCGCCTTCGTTTAAGTCCCCTAAATCTTGGTACACTTCGGACACAATTAATGATTATCTTAAATTGATAGTGAAAAGGTCCAATGGCGAAGTTCATGCTGTCGTTACCGACTTCATACCAGCATATCTTCGAGGAGGTTATCCAGCTGTAAGAAGATGGATTAAAAAAGATATCCATTCATTAAAGTTACTTTTTGTGCCAATGAATGTTGGCGGACATTGGATATTGACTGTGGTAAACGTACCCAAAAGAACTGTGACATCATATGACAGTCTTAAGTGTTATGATGGTCCTTATCCTATGGTACTGAAGGAGTATCTAACTGACTGGGAGATGGATAAAAAGGGAGCAGCTTCGTCTTGGACTTTAAAAATCGGCGAGACGACTCGCCAAACTAATGGGTATGACTGTGGTCCATTTACGATCGAGCTAGCCGAAAAAATTGCACGTGGAGACACAACTCCTATAAATGGGAGTCTTATGCCTTCTGTAAGATTAAGACACAGAGAAGAAATTATAGCCGGCCAACTATTTTTATAATTTTTTATGAAAGATATTGCTTAAATGGCTTATATAAATTTCCCAATTTTTATATTAAATTGATATTTTTGTTAATACGCTTTTATACTTCCTAACATTTTCTTACGTTTTATAAGCTTATTGTTATTATTATTTTATGTTATTTTTCTTTGTTACATTACTTTATTAAATAAATGTATATTAAATGTATAAATGTATTAGATATTATTATATCTAAATAGCTATGTTGTGTGAATACAAAAACTATATAATAAACAATTATAGGAAAAATAAGTGAAAAAATTGGTCAGTTACAAATTTTAAAGTAAATAGATTTATCTACATTCTTAATAATTTTAACTAATAATATTAAACTGATTGATAATTCATAAATAGTATCACAATTTTTTTGAATTTATAACTAAATTTGTATTTATAAAAATTTATTTTCAGTAATTTTTTATAATTATCGAAAAATAGAAGGAGTACTATATTTTTGTAACAGCTTAAAATTCATTAGTTTAAAAAATAAATAAAATTCTCTTCAACACACTTTTATCGTTAAAAGATCCTTTATTTTAATATAAAATTATCTTAACTGAAGTAATCTTACGTTCATATAGCTATGTTATGTGAATTATGCAAACAATAATGGATTCAAATAAGTTTAAAAATCAACCAATTATAAATTTAAACCGATGTAACTATTTTTTTCATGACCTCATTTTACTCTACTGATCCAACACCCCACCACAAAACTAAAACACAAATTAATATAAATTGATTAGGGTTAAGAAAAGCAAATACGAATGTTTAGTTATCATTGGTGTATCCGAATAACTCGGACTTACTTAAGGAAAATTGTACTTAAAAGAAATTTAACTAGATTATAAAGATATTAGTAATGAATTAGGACTACTAACTTATTTGTTTATTATAGGATTTAATTTACATAATTTCTTGTTTTTACTTCAATTCTGAATTAAAAAAAAAACTAACATGTGTCATAAAAAAGAAGATGTGTAAGGAAACATATAATTGGCTATATATGTGATATATTTATATTTTGTCATAAAAAAGGTGTTAAGTAGGTTAAAGTTTTGTATGTTGGGATGTTGAAAAACAAGAAAAAATTTTTTTGACATGAAAAGCAATGAGAGGATAATTAAATTGAATATGAGTATAAATATTATGTTAACCGGATTTTTGAAATTCGTTTAGCTACAAAATGAAAATAAAAGCATATGGCATATAATCAAAAATTCTTTGTTTTGATATAATGACCGCAAGTAAATCACTTCTGTATGACGCACAATGAAACGTGCAACGAATAAGGAGAAGAATTTTACGACTCTTAATATTTAGTGGTTGTGTTTTAGAAATAATAAACTGTCTGTGTTTACGTAAATTGCAAGTGTCCAGTTTTTTTTTATAGGTATTAAATATAAACTGAATATTTATGTTTAACACAAGCTGTTGCGTCCTGAATAGTGACTAAATAGCTATTAATAACGTCACAAACTATTGTTTTACCAATAATTTCAACCGCTTGATGTGCTAGGGTAATGACTTCAATAAAATATCAGAATCTTATGGAATTGTGTATTTGATATGAAAGTCGACAGAGTTAGAGATAGGCTGGCTACACCATCGGACATATACTCGTCGATGCACGGACCTTACAGAGTCTAAAACTACTTGCCGAAAAGAGCGTGATAGAATATGAGAATCAATCCCTAGTGACACGTCACAAACTATTGTTTTACCAATAATTTCAACCGCTAGATGTGCTAGGGTAATGATTTCAACAAACCATCAGTATCTTGTGCAATCAATCAAACACGTATCTATTCAAATTTAAAATACATTTTACAATCTCCTTAGTGACACGTCACAAACTATTGTATTACAACAGTTTCAACCGCTAGATGTGCTAAGGTAGATTTTCGAAATGCATCTATTAAATAGACACTCCAATTGAAGAATTAAAAAAATTCTTAATTGGAACGACTCACAAAATACAAAAAAAATTAATCGTCTTAATAATTTATAAATATTTAAAACTAAAAAAAATAAGAAGATAAATTATTTTTTTTAAATTACATTACTACGAGAGATTTTGATAAAAACACCAAGTATGAAAAGATTCTAAGTCAGAGAGAGAGCACAATCGCGAAATATTCTGGTTCAGAGATACTTCATGATCAAACTCTTAGAAAAAATCCGGGTTGTAAATGAGCTAAAAATCGCTCTTTTATAGGCCTGTTTTATGAGGGGGAGACTTAACGTTTTATATTTTAATTTCAAAATCCTTCTCATTGGCTAGTCAAGGAAACTTGAATAGACCTGTGCGCAATCTATTATTCTACTAATTTGAGTTAATGTTTCATATTTTTATTGGTGTTTATATCTATCATCTTTCATAATAATGTGGTTTATTAGAAAAATTATCAATATAAATAAAATAAAATTATAAGTGCTAAATATCTATTACATATGGTTTACAATTTAGGTGAAGATTGAACAAATCGATATCATTTTGTTTTTATAGATACCTTAGGTATTTCACTATCATTTGATATATTTTTGTGAACATTTGCCAAAAACAAATATTGCCATAAAGGGTCAATTTTTGCATAAAAAATTAACTTCTTCAACTTAACTTTTGAAAATGTTCCGGAAAGACTGACAATTATATATATATATATATATCTTAAATTAATGTTTATGTAATATACATCTACTTTAATTTAAATGTAATTAAAAAAAAAATTGACGTCTGGACTTGTCATCATGGTGAAAATGACTACCATATTCAAAAATATGCTATTTTTGAGTTCAAAATCTGGGTTTTGTAATTTATTTTATTTTAAAATACCTGACAAGTTGAGTTCATTGATTTTCATAAATAATATATAAGTATAATTGAAAAAGCATAGAAAGTTAAACTTATTTAAATATTTTTGTTTCTTTTAAGTTGAGAAAAATAACTTTAAAATTTGAACTAGCTTAAATTGCCACTTTCTTTTCAACTGACGCATACGTTCTGGTATTCATAAACTTATGATTGAAGGGGCTAAATTAAATTTAGACTTAGTCCGTTTAATAAAAAGTATTATCTGTGATATTAATAACAAAATATGTATGCTCAATAATTGTAATCGATGCTTTGGACCTGAATATCTCAAACATCAAATGCTTAATATAGATACTACCACGATAAATGATCAAATAGTATATAAATAGTGAGGTATATCAGTTAAATAAATGGCTAAAAATGATTTTTTTTTATTTACTGACCATCTATTAACTAGCTCTGTTGTATTTTAGCTTCGATGTGAAGCCAAGAGGCTTTACAATGATGTGTTTTTTTTTTGGATAAGCGTTTTTTATGATAGTGATTTTAATCACTGTCAAATATCATCTATACTGGACCCAACTATGACACGACCCCACTGTGCCAGGTTTTTTTTACTTTAAAATGCTATAACTTTTTAAAAAATCTATGGATCAATATAATTTTTTCACGAGAAGTAGTATTTATATACATTTTTTATTCAACATACTTTTTTTTTGAATTGGACCATTTCCCTATATACAGGGGGAGTTTAAATCTGAAAAATTCATATAGAAAGTAGTACTTTTTCAATTTAACTTTTGAAATTGTTCCGGAAAGTCTGACACTTTTATATATGTATCTTAAATTAAAGCTAATGTATATAAATAATAAATATAGTATATAAATAGTGAGGTATATCAGTCAAAGAAAAGATATTATATAAAATTGTTGGAATATAAAACTTGTAATAATATAAAGATGAATTAATACTGTTTAGTAATAGCAGTGTTAATAATTTTTTTTGTAAGAGGATATTTCATTATATTATTTACCAGTGATTTGGACACGATAGGACAGATATATTATTAGATTAAATTTATCTTCAGAAAATTTATCAATAATATAAAATTCTTATAATAAATTAAAAATTGTAAAAAAAAAAAATTAACAAATTAGTTAAATAAATAATATCAAAACTTATTAAATTAAAACCATAATTAATCTCATTAGTAAATTTTCTATAATATAGAAGCAAAAGGTTATACAATTTAATTCGCGTATTTTTAATATTTCTTGCTTGTTTTGTCCAATTTTAAGCCATTCAATTTTCTTTCGACGTTTTTGAAGACTTCGGTTTGAGCTGAAGATTACTAGTCATACGTTACTAACCCGTTAGTAAGGGCAAACGCAAACTGGGCTAGTTCTTTTAGAGCTGAATATGCAATTGGAAATTTATGACCATGTTCGGAGTTTTCAAGTTCTGGGATGAAGTGTTCATAACCTAGCGGTTTGGCAAATCCTATTGAGAAAATTTCGACATGAGTAATGAATTAGTATAACATAAGAAGACAATCGTGTCGAGAGCATCTACTACCGACTAACAGCGACCACGTCGTCTTGTGCTAACTTGTGGCTAAAGAATAAGTGATGGCCCATGTGATACCTTTGGCTATATTAACGAGTAATGGTTCGATGATAGCTCCCACTATAAGAGTTAGTACTTTACTAATACTCTTATACTTTTTAATCAGTATAAGATAAACGAGCGATAATTTATCATCTGAATGATTTTTTTTGCCAGTGATAATGATTCCTTAAACGTTCCCNTGATTTTTTTTTTGCCAGTGACAATGATTCCTTAAACGTTCCCTGAATATTTTTGATCGTTTCGGATGATAACGTACTTGTGAATTCTTCAAGTCGGGCAATTCAGTTGCTGACCAAGAGGAGAATTAATACCAAAGTCTTATGAACAGTATATTTCTTAGGAAAATTTTATATTATATTAATATAGTGAATAAATAAAAAGTAATATTATTAAAAATAAAATAATAAATACTTGATATTTTGCTTACGGTACTTACAAAAATCATTTTTGACTATGCATAGTGTCGACTAGATTGAATTAAAATTTCCANATAGTGTCGACTAGATTGAATTAAAATTTCCAATGTATTCTTCAAGCACAAATCTTAAAAATGA